TGAAGATTAAATTAATCTTAGCAGACGAAATTTCTATGAACGCGTTATAATTTTTTGACATAATTGAGTCCACAAGATGTTAAAGATTCCTCATATACCTTGAAATATTGAATATCTCATCTAAAATGGTACTAAAACCCCGCGTTCCAAGTTCGCTCTGCGCACATTGTGTCTTGTAATGCGATCGTGAAGATTAAATTAATCTTAGCAGACGAAATTTCTATGAATGCGTTATAATTTTTTGACGTAACTGAGTCCACAAGATGTCAAAGATTCCTCATACACCCCGAAATATTGAATATCTCATCTAAAATGGTGCTAAAACCCCGCGTTTCAAGTTCGCTCTGCACACATTGTGTCTTGTAATGCGATCGTGAACATTAAATTAATCAAACTCATCTGTTATTATTCATGTGCTTTTGTTAATGGTGTCGGAATGATGAGGTAACGTGCTAATTCACTAAGAATTGAATTCGGATTGTATTGTTCGGTTTTCAGTTAGCGATGCTGTCAACTTACCGCCCTCAAAACTTCCCCTTACAGCGGCCGGTCGGAGTACGTTGTATTCACCGAATTTTGTTGGTTCGTTTTTTTTGATTTGTCTTTTTTTTGTTTTGCTGTGGAATTTTTTTTGAACGGTATTTTTCGGATTATTATTTTTAGTTCACTCGTCATCGTGGTGATTTTTATAGTTGTAATTTTTGAAAATGTTTTGTCTGGCGCTGTTTTATTGATCGATTACAGATCTCGATTTACATCAGCCAATTTATATGAATGATGTGAAGGACATGCTAAAGGAATACCAACGTCTGCGTGAACTTGAGCCGGTTGGATGTTCATTTCTAGTGATTGTCTGAATGGTAGTATTGTTTGAAATTGTCATTACTGGTCGTTGGTTTTTATTTGAGGATTCGCCATCGCTAGACATCAGCGAAATAAATGCCGATGAAGTGTATGAACGAGCTGGATTGCCGTGTTTATCGGACAAGAATCTGCCAGCCGAAATAAGTGAAGCGATGAAACAACCGTACAGACCACCGAAATAATTTATTTTATCTGGCTGGCGGCTGTGTTCGTTTATTGGTTTTGTTATCATGATTGCTGTTGTTGTTGTTGTTGTTGTTGTTGTTCCCATTTTGATTGTACTCTTATTAGTATTATGAGAAAGTGAAGTGAAGTTGCAATCTGATCATTAAGAAGCACAATTTACCATTTGATATTCGTTGTTTTTATTGAGCTAGTCACTTTAATTTATTACTACCACGTATGTCTGTCTTTTTTATACGTCTTCTTCTAACGAATTTTTCAAGTGTCGCAATTTTCACGAAGCATACATAACATTTTTGTGTACAGTTAGTTATTATGATGGTTGTATTTGTATTGAATTGAATTGATTTGGTGTTATATTGTACATGATGTTGTATGGTTATTATAGTTCTTAGCCGATGGATATTTTTTTTATGGCAGGCAGGCAGGCATCATTTGTTCATGTTCTTTAGCAGCTGTTTGTTAGTGTTGTTTTAATAATTTATTTGTTTATGTTTTGTTGTTATTGTGATTATTAGCATTTGCAGTTATTTGATTGATTGATTGATTGGTTGATTGCTGCGTTAGATTTATGGAATGGTGAACGATAGGGCACGAATGGTGCAATGAACTGAAAGAAAGATGAATAAATATTGACGGAATTGTTATTGGAATGATGAAATTCGTTTGGATCGAACAAAGCGTTCAACAAATATATCTGCGTGCTTTATGCTTGAAATGTTTTTTAGATAGATTCATTGAAGTAAATGTCGAAAGTGAATTAATCATGCATTATCAGTTTCAGTTTCAGAGCGGTGCATTTAATTTCATCGTAGTAGATGTGTGTTGCTTATATGCTACGAATTAGATGATTCGTCTCAAATTTGTGCGTTTAGTGAACGCCATTATCGTTATATCGTTTGTAAGTTTTGCATTATTCTGAACTGGTTGGTTGGTTGGTTCGTTGGCATTGTGGCAATGTGAATAATGTGCATTTGAGTTGGGCTTATTGATGGTATTCATACAAAATCCATATCCACCAGTTGATGAGCATTCCGAGGCAGCAGCAGCAGTAGCAGCAGTAGGTTCATACGAGTCGAGAGGCGAACGTCTCCTTTCGGCGAACAGTCTACCGGTGGTTGGTGATTATTATTATGAGTTGAAGTTGCTTGCTTGGTTGCAGCAGCAGCAGCATCAGTAGTAGTAATTGAGCAGTGCTATTGTTGTTTGAAGGCAATTGAAGAGTCTCTAAAGGAATCGGCAACATTTATCTCATCACCATTGAGCATCAATGATGTGGTATCATCAATTGAGTTCTTGAATAACAACTATGAAATTCTTAATATGCACAGATTTGGTCCGGTTAGTGAGGCGAAATTCGTTATTGTTGTTCAGGTGGGTGCTTGTTTTCATGATTACTATTGTTCAGTTTGAATTGCGACTGAAAGTGCTTGTTTTTAGGTTCACAATCGCATAGAATATTTACGATACTTAATCGAATCGCTGCAGAAAGCGAAATATATAAATGAAGTGTTATCAATATTTAGTCATGACTATTCTTCGCCCGATATCAACGAACTTATCAAGCAGATACGGTTTTGTCGAGTTTGTGTTTTCTTTTGATTATTACTGTTTTTATTATTACTATTGTTATTATTATTATTATTATTATTATTATTATTATTATTATTATCATTGTTGTTGTTGTTGTTGTTGTTGTTGTCAAGAAATGGGAATGAGAGAAATAATTTGTCTAATTTGTGTTGATAATTGCCACTTTCAGGTATTACAAATCTTTTATCCATATAATATTCAGCTCTTTCCTACGGTTTTTCCGGGAACCGATCCGAATGACTGTGCCGCAGATATGACGAAAGAGAAGTTAGTTGAAATATTCATTTTGCAGCAGCAGCAGTAGCAGCATTCATAGTGATTATGAGTGGAAGGAAAGGGTGTTTCAGAGCCAAACAACAACGCTGTAACAACTGGGCACATCCAGATAAGTATGGTCATTATCGTGTGGCGAAATTAACGCAGATTAAACACCATTGGTGGTGGAAGGTTGGTTGGTTATATTTGCTGATTGTTATCGGTTGATTTGATTGGATGGATGGATGGATGCGTTGCAGATAAATTATGTGTTCGATGTTGTTATGAAGCGATATAATCTGGATAAGGCTTGGGTGATCCTGTTAGAGGAGGATCATTATGTGGCACCGGACTTCATTCATGTTCTCCAGAAGGTTATCGATAACAAAAAACAGTTGAGTTTGATCTTGCATCGTGATCAATTCAGTAACAGTGTGTGAATGGGCAATATATGTTTAGATATTGTGAGCAATGCCAAGTGGTAAGTCTCGGTCTCTACCTCAAGCAGTATAGTACGTATGGCGATAATATAGCATCATTAATAGTTCATCCATGGTTTAGTAGTAAGCACAATATGGGAATGGCATTCGATGTGAACACGTGGAATCTTATCAAGAACTGTTCAAAGGTTAGCGGGCAGCGAGTGTTTAGTTTTAGTTGCTTTGGATGAGTGGTTTAATTTAGTGATGATTATCATCAGGAATTTTGCACTTACGATGACTACAATTGGGATTGGTCATTACTGCATATCAGTATGAAGTGCCTTCCGAAAAAACTGCGCGTGATCGCACTGAAAGCACCACGCGTTATACACGTGGGTGATTGCGGTGTACACACGCATCGATGTAACGTGCAGAACGCTCCGAAAAAGGTTTGATCATTGATTATTGATTATTGATTATTGATTTGATTATTGTTCACGGTCACGTCACGTCGCTATCACAGTCAGTTGTATTCTAGAAGTATTGTATTTTAGGCACAAGAGCTGTTCAGTAGTGTGGAGAAGCGTCTCTTCCCGGCCAGCTTACGAGTAGTGGAGAATTCACGTCGAATGCTAAAACCGTCGAAAGAGAATGGGGGATGGGGTGATAGTCGAGATCATCAGTTATGCATCAATAATTCAATGGTGAATGTGCAACCGTCTCTAGTCGATTCACTGGTTGTGAAGGGTGATTATGACTCTGCGATATTCATCAACCTCAATAACAGCAGCAACATTATGGATTTATAATAATCGAGAATAATATGCACAATAATAGCGGCATATCGTTATCTCATTTCAGTTCGCATGAACTCACTAATCGTTAGTGATTAATTTATGATACGGTGAACTGATTTTAACTGAATATATTGTGACTTACTTCTATGTGAAAGTCGCAAAGGATCGACATAGGCATTTAGTCGGAACGGTAGCAGGTATAACTGTGTCTAATAATGATAAAGCATTTTATGTTTCGGCGAGCCTTGCTTCTGTATCACTGGATATGCATTGATTTGTTGTGCTTGTTATTACTGTTGTTGTTGTTGCTGAAAGTGATAAGTTATTATTTTGATTTGATTTCGTTTGCGTTAGTGCTGCGGCGTTTTGATCTACGAAACAGCGTTGGCATACGTACTTATATACAAATATTCCATTGAAACTGTCGATATGATCTGAATTGATTGATTTGTTTTGTTATCATGTTTGTTTGTGTACTTAAATTGATTATGTTTGGTTTCATTTAGTTTCGTGAATATGATCGCTCGGTTAGGGTTTTTGATGAGATATAATTTTAGTATGTGGTGTAGTTGTCGTTACTTTACGGTTATGATGATTTGTAATCTTATGAAGGTTCGCAAACCCTTAGATGGGACGGGATGGGTGTTATTTTGGTTGGACACATTTGCTAGAGAGCTGTAAGAAGAGTTCATTGGTTGTTTGTAACTGACTGCTTGTCATCCGCTACCCCCTCTCCCCCCCCCCCCCCCCCCCCCCCCCCCCCGTAAAATCACATCTACCTTCTCTGAAGTGTAATTCACTCGTTTGGGAACCCATTAATGCTGTCTAATAATCATATTGTATTGTGTTTTTGTTTCTAAACTTATGGTGAATATATATTTTTTGTATATTCGGAAATATTCTTCGTCTTAATCAACTTTAAAATGGATTATCATTATCGCGACAAAAATTTCAAATTCTATTTTTTTGCGCGTATGATAAAAGAATTTTTTCTGCACACTATTTTGATTTGTTTGCGTTTTGACATCGTTGTAGAGTTGAATCCTCATCAGAACTGGTTCATTTTAAGCCAGACATACCATTTGTATTGTATTGTTTTTGTGATTCAGAAGAATTGCTTCATCGTGTTTCATCAGTATTATTTTCAGTGATTCCTCTTCGTTTTAATATATTGATTTTAGAAGTGGGTAGATGCAACAATCAAGTGAATGATGTATTTATAACAAGTGAATATTATTTTTGGAATCATCGTCAACAATAACAACTTGAGTGAAATCAAACGAAAACAGCAATAGCAGCAGTCAATGGCAACAGGTACGAATATGATGACTGAAACAGAGATTGGGATTGAATTCGACATTTAATCGCGTGGCAGGCACATTTTTGCATTGTAGAAGAAAAAGTAGATGTGTGCGTGTGTGTGTTTTTTGGCCGGTCGTGCAAAGTCAGTGAAGTAATTATCATTGTATTAATTGAATGATAAATACGGCAGCCAAATTTGCAGTTGAATATGAGCTGATTTGATAAGCGTTCTTCGCCGCTTCATTAAACGATAGACAGTATGTGGTGGGTGATTTGTTGGGTTGTGTTTAAAAGTGAGCAGAGCAGAGATAAAAATAGATAAGTAGTTTAGAGATGATATCGGTCGACGTTGTTCAGTTCAGATTCTTGTACATGTACTTCAGTTGTGGCCGATATAGCTGTGGCTATTTTTGTTGTGACGAAATGTTTGAGATGATGCCATTCGTCAAACCATAAGTCAAAATGCGACATAGCACCAAGTAACAACATCAAATTCGATACCAAAAAATAACCGTATGCACTACCCAATGAGCACTGTAAGAAGATTAGTGAAATGAGGTGGTCATTTTAACTCAGCCACTAGAGTTTATTAACGTCGAGCTGGTAGCCTCTAGTGCCGGTCCCAAGCCCGGATAAATGAGGAGGGTTGCGTCAGGAAATGGCAATCCGGCGTAAAAATGGTTGGTGCTGCCAAAATAACGAACTTATTTTTGGAATTGGAATTATATTGGCAATTTATTGTGAAATATGGATATAGATATGATGGAACATATTTGGTATTATTATAATATGGTATGGAATGAAATGGATGGTGATATGACATCGCATAAACACTGGAACAAGTAGAGACAGGTCGGAATGTTTTTTGTATAATTAATTTGAAATGGGGGGTGAGAAAGCAACGGACGGATGGATGTGGAGTGTGGATGTATGGGTTGTTCGGTGGAACGTGGATTGGTATGTGGCACGAGACCGGATGGTGTCATATCGGAGCGGATGTCAAACGGATACAGAGAACAGGTCGAGGTTTTTTCGTTTCGTTATAAATTATTATTATTCTCTCGTTTGCATTTTCACTCTCAACTTTCCGTTGGATTGTTTGCGTATTAAATCTACGAATTCTTAACGAAGAAATAAATGACGTCTAAATAACTGTCTAATATGAGGAATTATTATAGTTCCTTGTAAGTTGCATGCTCGTTAGGTATTTGATGATCTCTATGCTTTGTGGAATACTCGTTGAATATTTAGCTTATCTATTAGCTAGTGTCATGATGGCATTCATACAATTCTATGATGATATCCTTATGTCCCTTGCCAGTGTAGTTATCATTCATCACTTGTGCTACTAAGATACTTGAAACAATCCACTCGAATGGAATAAGAAGCACTATAGCCTCTTGATTTGGGGAAAGGTTTCCAGTAAAATACCAACTTTCGAATGCACAAAAAAAAGTCTTCTTAGTAGATAAATGAATAATTCATAACTTACATATCCTTTGTTTGTGATAAACGGATAGAAACTGCTATAGAAGACGAGAAAAGCAATATTCAAGTTGATCAACACTGAAATATGAAACGATTAGATAAGGTGGCAGGCAGGCAGGCAGGCACACTAACAATAATAAGCATAAAATGAAAATGTATTATAAAAGAGAATTGAATTTGAAAGAAGACTACTCACTCAAAAGCAGTGTTGCAATGCACAAAATACGTAGTATTTTCACTTTTGTTTTGAAGCACTTCAACTGTAAATCTCGCTTACTACAGACAATTAAAATAGTCAAAATAACAATCACATACAATAAAATACTAATGAACATCAATATTCGAGCGATTCGTAGTGCTGAAATTTAAGTTTAAGTTTCAGTTAGGATGATGCATTTGAATAGTAAGAGATGAATATGTTCCGGATTAAGATTATATTGGGTTGTTGTTGATTTTCATAAGTGGATAACGTTGTAAAGGGTCCTAATCTAGGAAATATTACGATGACGTTAGGTGTTCACATATAAACATTATGTTAGTGCGCAAATAATAGCTGCAGCCAACCTAAAATAGGCTCTGTGACGTTGTCGGGTTGAATGCGTTTACCGTTAATAACGAACGTACTTGTTTGATCACCCCATGGACTACATCTGATGCCTCCTCCGTTTTGGAAACGTTCCGACTTAACGCAGTCACTACCGAGACCACGCTATAAACAGACTGAATTGAATAGCGGCGGAATGATATCGGATCACTTCTTGAGTAGTTTAAGCTTAAGCTGGCTTGAATTTGAATGAATGGAGTGGGATATGATGAAGTTTTAGTTGAATATGCGTGAATTTAAGTGAGTGACAAGAAGGGTTATTAGATGAGATGAGATGACTTGATCAAAATACTGACTTACTTGATACTGCAGAGTTGGTCCGCCTTGTACAAGCCATGCATTATTGACGAAATGAAACACCTCTAGAATGGCAGCAATAAGCGTGAATGTAAACGCGAATATGGTCTCCCAAAAGAAACGATTCTGACGAGCTATTGACTGTTGTCGTTCCATGAAGTGATTCAAACAGCTAGCTATTCTTCACTTGGCTTCTTCAGATTTGGCCGCTTGCTATAGCGGAGTGTTGGTAATAAGCTGAGAGGGGTGAGCACGGGTTACGATGTGAACTTTGATGGTTTATTCTATTGGATTGTGATGGCTCGCATGATTGTTCGATGGACTGTTAAAGATAGTTGAACTTAGTGTAGTTTGTATTGGTGATGATAAATAGATGCTGCTGACAGATAGCTGAATTTTTAGCATTATACTGACAAGGTTTGGGTTTTTAATAGTGCCTATTTGGGCAGTAGGTAATATTGCTTATGCGCACTTGCACTTGATTTGCCCACATTCGGCTGTTTGTTGATTGTGATTAGGTAATGGCTGGCGGTGATATATCAGAAAGCAGATGATAGATCGGACTAAACAAGCGTTGAGGTTACTGCGATGATCAGCTGTTTAAGATGGATACGTTGACTAAATGACTAAGTATTGATCGAGAATAGATATCGATCGGCTAGTTGAATTTTCGGCGATTCCTCGTTACGAGCGGCTTGATTCGTTTTGTATTGTCAATGGCGAAACAGTGATCAGTGAATAATGCTAGGAGTAGATTTGTTGTCGAAATCAGAGCAAATCAGATGGACATCATGACGATGATCGAACACTGAGCAGTTAGTTGTTGGATAGGAACTGCTGACGATAATGTGACTTAAGGTCAGTTGAGATGACGTGAAGGGGGGGGGGAAGAATTATTCGGATTCTTTCTTTGTAACGACAAGTTGATCGTCGTTTATTTTTGAGTTGATGTTGTTATTTCATGAATTGAATTGCATTCAATCTGAAAAACAGAGTGAAATATTTCAAAAGTTATATCACATTTGTTGTTGTGGCGTAATGAGTGGAACACGTGTTATATTGCTATTATTAACAATCATTTGAGTAAAGTAATGAAAATGACGATAATATTAATGGTAATGAGTAAAAAAGAGTTCATTCGTTCATGATGAATGCAACTTGAAATGAACTTGATCGGTTAAGAAATAAAATGAAGAGACAGACGGTTGAATGGTACGGTTGATATAGCAGGAGAATAGAAGATTAAGCTTTGACTTCGATTCAGTTGAAGTTTAAGCTTAGCGTTGAGATTGTTTGTTTATTGTCAGTAAAAGAGCAAGCAGAGAAGACTGCAGAAATATTATATATAGTTGGTCGATGTTAATGATGAGAGAGGAGATGATTTTGTTTGTTTGCAAATTGGTGGTGAAGAAGGTTGGCAGTAGAGAGAAGGATGCAATAGAATGGAATTTTTTCATTAGTTGTCGCATAATTTGAGTAAGAAATTTGTTTGAATTGAGTATTCGAGTGTGCAAATGTATTATCACTATTTGCAATAGGTATGATCGCAGTTTATTGAATAGATATTACAGATAGATATTCGATTTGGGTACATTTATTGAGTAGTGTTAGCATTTGAATTGTTGAATGGTGATGTGGAATCGATTGATTGGATGAATGCTTTAAGAAATGACACTTTGTTGAGTGATTTAACAAAGAATAAGGCAGGCAGGCAGGCGATTTAATTGATGCGGCTGGCAGTATGCTATTGTTTGGATAATAGATGAGTGAATAAAAAGTTGGAAATGTTCATTAATGGTTAATGGAATCGAAAAGTTGATCAGATGGCTGGCTGACAGGCTGGCTGCAGCAGGAGAATAGTGAACAAGATACGGACAACGGCCCAAAGATGGGCAGAATTAAGATTTTGAGTGTTTTCAAATAAATTTGTGTGTGAGTGATTGAATAAATTGTATTTGTGTATATTTGTGACGAATAGTATAATATAATATGTGAGCGTGTGTGCACGGTTGATTGACTTTTATATAGGAGTTGTTATTAGAAACCGGTTTTAATGTAGTTGAGGAGGAGGTTGAATGCAGATAGAGAAAGGAATGAAAGGTCAAGGAATTGGTAATAAGCAGTTGGTGATTCGATTGGTTGTGCAACAAAGTGTGTGTCTAGTGGGTTTGAATAGTAAGATGGATGCATGCATGGCATTATGGTGGATATGAGTGATTTGATCGTAGAAACTTAGCAGCTGATCATTAGAAGCGACAGGTAGATATCATATCATAACTGTGGACGGATGCATTATGCTGCACATGGACAAGAAGTGGTATCAGGTGAGAGCGTATTGCAAACACTTGATTATCAACTCGTAACGTTTGAAGGGGCAATAATGAGTGAGTCGGCCGGATTAGGCTGTTTGCTGCGATCATAAGTAATAGTAGTGGCTGATATGCGAGCCTATTCGACGACTATATGTCCTCCGTATAGAGGAAAGTGAGGAATGAAGAAAAGATGCGTGAATGCGAAGTGGCAGCAATGCATGACGACAATATCGTAATGCATACAATAGTAATTATGATAAAAACGGTATTGAGTTGGTGATAGACTCGACTCGATATTATTGTTGCCATACAACAACACTGAAATGCTCTATGAATTATTCATTTGAAGTTCAACATAATTTTAAGCAGAAAACAAGAATAAAATCAACTCGTTTATTTCATATAGTCAGTCGTCACAAGGCCATCTTATATTTTATTGCGAATACAAGAACAAATATAGCCTAAGCACAAGCAGCATCTTGCATCTATGATTCCCTCATGAGTGATAAGGGAATAATTAAGAGCACATTCAAGCAAGCAATGATTATGAGTATTAGAATAAATTAATGCAAGTTATCGATGCAGCAGCAGCAGCAGTAGCCGTCATTCAAGTGAAACTCTCACATCATCGAAACAAGCCTCAAATCATCAGTCGGGTACTTTTTGGTTGAGCCAAGTATTATACCTGTGAGTGGCAAGAGTTGGGCAATTGCAATAGGTAAAACACAAGAAAGTTCAATGAAAAGCTGTTGTTCATGTTTGATAATAGAAGTGAGTTTGGAACGAGCCTAGCTAGTGCTGCAGGCTTGTAACTCTTCCAACGAAGTGAGAAAGCAGCCAGCTATACTGGCGAAACGAATAGAAACCGACTGAGAGTATATTCGCTGAACGACGAGTACACGAGCATGCACGTCGTCTCTACGCTTTATTTTGAGTCTTAAAATCAATGAAAATACGCTATTGAGGAGGGTAATTTTAAGCAGTCGGGTTACAGCTAACTGCCGATGCTGCTGCTGCCAGTCTTGACATATATAGTGAATGTGCTGAACATAGCAGCAGCTAAATCGGGTATGTCTTCATTATTATGAATATATAATCCAACTGCCTTTTCTCTATGTTAGCTGCTATAATTTTATATATCCACATGAAATGTATGTGCACGTATCTTAGCTAGATCTGAGCGAGAGTGGGTTTAGATAGTTCGATTAGCTAACATTGATAGGAGGCGAGCAGAGTACGTACTACAACTGAAGTTATACTGTATGTATGAGGAAGATAAGTAATCTAAGTAAATCATCAAAATGACTGGATGGGTGGCCTCGTTGTATGAAAGAGAGCTTTATTCGTATCCTTTAGCATCATATCCTTCCTTGTAGTTTGTATTGAATGTGATATGGCGAACGCGGGGCATGAACGAGAACCCCTATGTTTCAGAAAGCTTGTTATTATAATTGTAGCAAGGAGCACAAAGAAACTACTATTACCGTCATTAGTGTTGTTATTTACTGAGCGATTATTCATCAGAGTATGTTATTATTATGCTGTAGAGATAGATCTTCGTTTAAATGTGAATGAATGAAACTTATTGTGAGTAAGTAACAATAGAATGAATAATAGTAACGAGTAAGTAGTATTTGTGAGTGTATTTGTGTATAGTTATAATAGTATTGTATTCATTTGCGTTCTTAATTCAGATTTCGCATTTGCAGTTGATTATTACCTATTTATTTGTTTGTTCGTTATTTTTGTTTACTCATAATTGAATATGAACTCTTATAATGGAAATTGCTTGTGTGCGATAATAGGTAGTAGAATGAAGAAATTTTTGTACTTTATAATTATTATTTGTTGGAATTGTCGATAGCGTGCGTCATTATGACGATTAGTCACATTCTTATAATGATTATTATTGGTGATAGTTTTTGGGGATTGTTGAGCATTTTTTATTGTTCACAGAGGTGTTTGTATGAAGGTGATGATTGATATTGAAGGAATAATCAATTTCGGGTGATCAATCATTTGAGTGCATCAAAAAGTTCAATTGCAAATAATTAATAGCCGTTAGTCGAGAGACATTTTTATTGGAGAACGAAAGGCGCTTTTTTGGTTTGCTTTTTTCAAGAAATTATTTCTGTGGAATAATCATGTAAAAAGGTCATTTCTCATTATTCATCATTTGTTAGTGTGAAGCAAAGAATGCGAATGAAGAGATTGCACTGCAAGTTATGAGGAGGATGATAATGAGGAAACGAACTGCAATTGAGGAGTTAAAGTGCTGGATAGCAGCTTAATAAGTAGAGCATTTACTTATTAGGATGATCAGTTCAATTGAATCAGTCGCTTGATCAGTTCAACCCCGTGATCAGCTTCATTCGATCAGTTCAGTGAATCGGTTCAACTGAAATATAAGACAGCAATCATATCATGCATGCATATTTAACGAACTGCATAAGTTGGTCTTTCTATCAATTACTGTCACGTTTGTCTACAGTATTAATAATAATAGTAATATAGTACAAGTGTAGTTATTTTCTAGTCGTCACGTTTATCTGCAGTACTGCTACTAATAATAATAGTGCAAGTGCATTGTTGGTTTCGCGCAGTTACATTTACAATTATAATGCATTTACTGTTACAGTTATGTAATAAGTTAATTTGACATACATATTTATGATGGTTAGTTAGTTACCTGCTGATTGATTGGGTGTGCGATTGATGGATGGATGGCTGGCTGGATGGAGGATGGAAGGAAGGATGGATGGATGGATGGATGGATGGATGGATGGATGGATGGATGCATTGACGGACGGATGAATAAGCTTTTTATTTGCAGGAGTTAGTTAT